TTGCCAGCATTTGTTGTTTTGGAATTTCTTGATATAGGCCACTCTTAACTGGGGTTAGGTGGAATCTCACTGCATTTCTCTGATGATTAGAGATGTTGAGCATTTTTTTATATGATTGTAGGCCATTATTCTGTCTTCTTTGGAGAAGTTTCTGTTCATTTCCGTCGCCCATTCTTGATGGGATGTTGATTTTTTTCTTGTTAATTCTTTTGAGTTCTAGATAGATTGTTGTTATTAGACCTTTATCAGAGGTGTAGAGAGCAAATATTTTTTCCCACTCTGTGGGTTATCTATTTCTTCTACTGATGGTTTCCTTGGCTGTGCAGAAACTTTTTAATTTGATCAGATCCCATTTGTTTATTTTTGGTGCTGCAGTGATTGCCTTGGGGTCTTCCTCAAAAAATTCTTTGCCTAGACCAATGTCTGATAGGTTTCCAACATCTTTTCTAGGATTCTTAAGGTTTCATGCTTTAAGTCTGTTATCCATCTTGAGTAAATTTTTGTGAGAGGTGAGAGGTAGGGATCCTTATTTGATCTTCTGCATGTAGCTAACCAGTTCTCCCAGCACCATTTATTGAAGAGAGATTCTTTTCCCCATTGTATATTTTTGTCAGCTTTATCAAAGATTAGATTATCGCATACTGATAGTTTCATCTCTGGTATCTCAGATCTATTCCAGATATCCATGCTTCTGTTCTTGTGCCATACCAGGCTGATTTAACTATTATTGCTTTATAGTACAGCTTGAAGTCAGGAAGACTGATGCCTCCCAGTTTGTTCTTTTTATTTAAGATTGCTTGGCTATACTAGGTTTTTTTCTGGTTCCATATGAAGTGAAGAATTATTTTTTCTAGATCTGTAAAGAATGCTGATGGTATTTTGATGGGGATTGCATTGATTCTGTAGATCACTTTAGGTAATATTGACATTTTAACTATATGATTCTACCAATCCATGAACAGGTAGATGTTTTCATCTGCTTAAATCTTCTGCAATTCTTTTTTTAGTGTTTCATAGTTCTCCTTGTATAAATATCATCTTTGTTAAGTATACTCCTAGATATTTAATTTCTTAGGGGCTATAGTAAAGGGTATTGCGTTTTTGATTTGAGTTTCTGTTTGTTGGTTCTTGGCATATATGAATGCTTCTGATTTGTGTATATTGATTGTATAACCTGAAACTTTACCAAATTTGGTTATCAAGTCTAGGAGTCTCTTGGAAGAGTCCATGGGGCTTCTGGTATAATATCATATCACGGCAAAGAGCGAGAGTTTGATTTCATCTGCCCCACTTGAATGACCTTAATACACCTCTCCTGCCTCATTGCTATCGCTAGGACTTCAAGCACTATGTTGAATAGGAGAGGAGATAGTGGGCATCCTTTAGACCAGAAGTTTTTAACAAAGTAATAATACTTTTAAAAATTCCTTTGTACTGGAAAATTTTAAAACTCTCTCTATTTAAACAACTCTGAAAATAAAAACTAGAAAACAGAAGGTGTATATTTTCTAGGAAAAAAGTAATGAAAATGTTACATATCTGAATTCACATAGTATAGCTTACATAGTGCTTAGAAAAATATACAGCCTTAAATCACACATCAAAAATTCAAAGAATGAAAACAACCAATGCAATAAAAGGATAAGAAGTAGGCTTGTAAAAACTGAATTAATGAAGATAAAGTAAAACTTTGTAATTTAAAAACTAATAGAATTAATAAACCAATAAAAAATTAGTTCTTTGGAAATAAAATTATAATTAAAATGTTTATACCTCCATAATATTCTGAAATTTAAAATAAAAAATTAAATGGAGACAAAAATAAAAAAATGAAAATTTTCAAGAAGTAATAATTATAGGAACAGAGGAATTTAAAAAATATCTAAAACCTACTTTGCACAATTCTATTAAAATGAATTTAAAAATCTACATGAAATAAATAATTTCTAGGGAAATAAATTTAGCAAAACAGACACTAGTTAAGACTGATAATTGAGTAGACCAATTTCTAGGGAAGAAAAAGAATTTGTCAAAGAGCTACTCCACAAGTAAGTACTACAATAATTACCTACATGATGTCACAAGAGAATCACACCTAACTTTTAAAGTCTAGATAATGCCCAAACTATTTAAATGGTTCCATAGCATACAAAATAGAGAAGAAACTCCAAATTACTTTTGATGTAATTATAAGATTGATACCAACATCTGAGAAATGCACATATATAGGCAAAAATTACAAACCAATCTCCCTAAAGAATACTGATGCAAATGCTAAATTAATATTACTTAAAAGAAACAACAGCAATATCAAATGAAATGCATTGTGTCCAAATGTGGCTTCTTCCAGGGATATAAGAATGGTTCCATGGTAGTAACTCCATTTATAAAATTTATCATAAAAATAAGGAAAAGAATAGCGCACTCAGTTCCACAGATGCTTAAAAAGAATTTATAATTCTCAGCACCCTTTCTTTTTTTTTTTTTTCCTGAGACAAAGTCTCGCTTTGTTGCCCAGGCTAGAGTGAGTGCCATGGTGTCAGCCTAGCTCACAGCAACCTCAAACTCCTGGGCTCAAGCAATCCTCCTGCCTCAGCCTCCTAAGTAGCTGGGACTACAGGCATGTGCCACCATGCCCGGCTAATTTTTTCTATATATATTAGTTGGCATTAATTTCTTTCTACTTATAGTAGAGACAGGGTCTCGCTCTGGCTCAGGCTGGTTTCCAACTCCTGACCTTGAGCGATCCTCTGCCTTGGCCTCCCAGAGTGCTGGGATTACAGGCGTGAGCCACCGGGCTGGCCTCAGCACCCTTTCCTAATCAAACGAGGTCAATTGAAACTTCCTTAAAATTATAAAGCACACGCAACTCAACCCACACGCCACTATTTGAATCAATGGTGGAATCGGAAACGTTGGCATTCAAGCAAAGTAAGGGTTAAGGCATGATGATCAGCATTTATTTATTGTTAATGATACATTAGAGGTAATATCTGGCTTATTTATTTATTTATTACAGCGTCTCCTTCTGTTGCCCTGGGTAGATGCAGTGGCGTCATTATAGCTTATTGCAACCTCAAACTCCTGGGGTCAAGTGATTCTCCTGCCTCAGCTTCCCGAATAGCTGGGCCTACAGGCACCTCTAAGGGCGACTAATTTTTCTATTTTTAGTAGAGACAGGGTTCTCACTCTTGCTCAGCCTGGTCTGGAACTCCTGAGCTCAAGTAATCCTCCCACCTCAGCCTCCCAGAGTGCTAGGATTACAGGCAAGAGCCATTGCACCAAGCCTGCCTGGCACATTTAGAGAAGAGAAAACTATTAAACATACAGAAATTAGAAAGGAAAATGTAAAGCAATCTCTATTTTATATGCTAGAATTCTTGAAAAACTCATGAGAGTCAATATACAAAACACTGAAAGCTAAGACAATTCATTAAGATGGTTGGATGTAAAATTAACATATTCAGAAAAAAATAGTTGCCTTTATAAGAAGATAGAACAAAAGAGGATCCCATACATAATAGCATCAACAATAGCAACAACAAAAAGTTAAATGCCAAGGAGCAAAGTGAATGAGTGAGGAAAATTTTAAAACACTCCAGAAAGACAAAAATTGGACTTCAGAAGTGAAAATATATATCATTTTCTTTTATAGAATGACTGAACATCATAAAGATACACATTCTCCTCAAGTTAATCTATACAGGTAATATGAATCAATAAAAATATTAAAAGGATTTATTATGGGTCTAGAAAAGTTGTTTCTAAAGTTCATATGGAAAATTAATCAAGAAATAACCCAAAACCCCTGAAAATTATTATCAATCAAAAGGGGGCATGCTATGTTATACATTAATTCTTTATGTAAAACAGTATGATTCTGAAGGATAAATAGATCACAGAACAGGATAGAAAGTACAGAAATAGGCTCAAGCATATAAGGAAGTCGAGTATATAATAAAGGTGGCATCTTAAATTACTGGCGAAAAGATGGACTTTTTAATAAATGATGTTAGAACAATGAAAGCCATTGATAAAAAAGATAAATTAACTGTATACCTTACACTATATGCCAACATAAACTTAAATGGAACAGAGATCTTAAAATATGGAATTATATGAGTTCTAGAGGGGAAAAAGTGAATTTATTCTCAACCTTGGAGTGGTGAAAGCTTTTCTAATTCTAATTTCTAATGACTCAAAAACTCAGAAGAAACAAAGAAAAAGGTTGATAAATTTAGCCACATTACAAAAAAAACCAAAAATGCTTCTGCATAACAAAATCGTGAAAAAATAAAAGGCAAAGTATTTTCTGGGGAAGCTATTTGCAATTTATTTTACAAATTGGTAATTAAATAAAAAACAATAGAAAATGTGTATCAAAAATGGACAGTTCACAAAACAATAAATGTCTGTACTATTTAAATATATGAACTTCACTCATCATAAGAGAAATAAAAGCTGAAACTACTTGAGATACACTTCTTACCTATCATGACAAAAATCAAGAAGACTGACTTTGATTCATTCTGTGGCATGGCTTTGGGGAAAAGGGCTAATATATTGCTGTTGGGAGTATAAATGGTTCAAACCATATGGAGGGAAGGGGAATTTGTCAGTATCTGAAAAGATTACATATGCACTATGGACATATTACATATGGACTATGAAGATAACTTGTCCAAGAATATTCATATACACATATGAAAATACATATGCACAATTCATTCTGGCATTATGTGTGATAGCCAAAGTTTGGAAACTACTTAAATGTCCATCAGTAGGGGACTGGTTGAATAAATTATGGTATATCCAAGTCAAATGGCTTCTAAAGCAGCCAATAAATTCTGTAACATGCCAAAGGTTAACAATCCTCATATAAAACTATTTTACTTCAAATGTAGAGATATTTTGAGAACTGAAACAAAATGAAGAATGTATTAAAATTACTACAGTAACAGACTATCAAGAGTATTGTACATATGTTGCCTTTTACTTACGGTTTACAGTTTTGACTGGTAATATTGGGTTTACCCTCTCTGGGGTGGCAGCATTTTTGTCATCCGTCACATATTCAAAATTAATGATGAACATCATGGCCACGCCTTCTTGGTTTTTCACTGGAATTACGTGAGTGTTACAAATGAAAGTAGACCCTAAGGAGATGAAAAATGAATATTAGTCAAAAATATACCTTTATTTTGAAATACCAGCAATATTAAAATTGAAATACACTCCATACAGAATTTTCTACCTTAAATGGTCATGGAAATTCAATAAAAATAATTTGACTTTTTAATTCACAGTTAATTGCAGACATATACTGTGCATAAGTTTTGCCAGAAGGACTTTAGAGGAAAATTCAGTTACTACTACATTGTACAAAAACAGAAATATCAAATCTCATTTGCTTTTACACCCATCCTTGTAACAGTTAATATTTTTAAATATATATTCTTTAACTTCCTAGAAACATAATTCTTAGCCTTTCCTTATATATTTTGGTTAAATCTAAATCTATTAAAATACATCTGTATAAACAATGAAGATATCTCATTTTGTGTGATCTTGATTTTAGCAATAAGCAACTTATGCCCTTTTTCTCTTCTTATTTCTTTGATATAAAATAGTAAATTATTGCCTCTGTCTTACATATGTTCCAAAAATTCTTTCTTTTTTAATACAAAATGTGCACTGCTCAAATTATAATGGTTTTGTTTGGTTTTTAATCTGTTAGAAAATAAAATGAAAAGTTTGTCTATATTATTGTGTTAATTTGATATCTTCGACTAAGACCATGATATTCTTCTAGAAGCAAAATTACACTGCCAATAAGATACACTTTATTGTAATCATCTGGAAAGGAAATGGACAAAGGGAAGACTAAGTTTATAATCAGCCACCACTATCCATCCTCCAAAAGAAACTCAAAGATCCAAGATGTAGAGCACACGGTTGAGAAGTTGACGTCTTTTAAGTCAACTGACTTCTAACTGACTCCTTGGAGCTGACTTCTAGTATTGCCTCAAAGCAGCTTGCTCAAATCTTTACCCTCTAAATATTAATATTTTCTTTAGTCAGGGTAATGGAAATCTCCCAGGCTGGAGATTTGTTTGAATTACAAATAAAGTATTGTATTTTTAAAATGCAAAACTTCAGAAAGCATTCTTAATCATTCAGGAAATAGTGTCTATTTTGCTTTCTTTTCTCACAACTAGCTGAGACCATCTTGAATCTTGAGGAGAGTGATGGTTCAACGTATAGGCAAGAGCAGGTTGGGAGCAAGGTTGGGCTGGCAGGAAACTTCAGGAGGAGATGTGGGCAAGTGCCAGAACACTTGGAGGCTGGGACCAGGGAAAATGGCAAGAGCTGAAAAATGTAGTTGGGAGCCCCCACATCTGCAAAGGCAGGTGGATACCAGTATTTCAAAATGGTGTCCTACATAAGCTCTAAATATTAAAAACAAGCATGAGAAAGCCCTTTCCTTTCTTCTGATCCCTGAATGTTGGCTACTGATGCCAAAGCTGAGAACGAAGGCTATTATTGATATTGCTATAGCTTGAGGACTTCAAGCTACAGAAACACAGGAAAAGGCTTTTGAGGGTGGGCCTAGAGATCTAATTATTCATGAAATTGTTTCTATGACAAAATATCTTCTAATTTCCAAAGAATTGATTTTTGGTACAAATACAATTTTAGAACACAGACTCTCTGTACGTTGGGGATACCTATGTTCTATTAATAGTTATAATTCAGATTTTCAGATGTGAATAGCTTCTCCAATTTGAAATGTGGAGGACTTTATTTATAACTAATTTCACATTTTCTATAAATGTGGCAATGGTTTTATAGATGTTGGAAAATATTCTTTAGGAATAGCATGTTTTACCTTCAGTTGTTAGCTATATCTTCTTTATTTATGCTAAGTGTTTTATTAGTTTTATCAGAAAAACTTGTATGTACAGGTAATTTCTGATGCATAATTTTAGTAGAGCCAGAGATGATCATTTCATCTAGAAAATCAAATCTCTGAGGTTAGAATGGGAGATAATGAAACAAGAGATTTCACTTTATAATTTATCTTTCTCAAACTGTCTAATTTCACATTTTCTATGTATATGGCAATGGTTTATAGATGTTAGAAAATGTGCTTTAGTTAAGGCATGCCGCACCTTCATTTTTCAGCTATATCTTCAATTCATTTAATGAAATAGCTAGAGCACTTGTAATAGTTTCCATGGTAACAAACGGGATGACTTTAGTAAACAGAAAATAAACAATTTAAGACTCTTCCATTAGACCTAAAAATAGCAGTGCTTCAGGCCAGGCATCACAATACACACTGGTTAAACAGACAGTCTGAGGAGATGCTAGAAATAGCCATTATGTACTTACTTTCCAAATGAACCAAAATACATATTGATTTTACCACTTAAAACGACATTTCCTGGATCATTTAGAATATCATTGTGAATTTGCAGGTTTGTCATTTAGCAGTTTCAAATCTTTCAACATTTGGAATATACTGTTGATTGTCAAACAACACAGAAAACATGAGGTTTTGATAAATCAATCAATAACATGTAGGGGTAGAGATCTAATAGGTTTGTAATAGAATAATTTTGCTTTCAGTAGTAAGGGGAAAAATCATGTCTTTCAATATAAATGCTTGTGCATTTACTGTCTAGTATAAAACATCATAAAATTATAGTGTTTTAGAAGAAAGTTCAGTTATATGCATTGGCTCCTCAGCATATTAATTAAGTGTAATTAACCTGGTATTTATTATCCACTATCATTGCTTCCTGTAAGTTTCTATTAAGCAATATATCTTCTCTGAAGTCAACTGAAGACTCATATTTACATGCTTTTCTTTTTAGTTTTGTGATTTAATATCTCCATCAATCTTGCATAACCTTCTGAAAGGCAGACTATGAAAAGAGATACATGGAATTTAGAAGGGGAGAAGAATAGAATACATTTTATACAGTAAAAAACATTTTAGCTTGCATAATTATACAAACTCCAAGTTCTGTCAAGGTACTACTTTTGTAAAGTGACATTATCCTAAAAAGATATTACAATGTGCTCCTACATATTTTTTTGAATCAGGAGCAAGAGTGATGGAAACATAATCTAGCAAACATTAACCTAGCAATGAAGAAAAAATAGACATATTTAATAATGTAGAAATAGGAGAATTAAACAAATCTAGAAAAATGTTCAGATCTTATCAGATCTTATTAAAATTAATCTTTCATTCAAATGACCTTGATAAAATGAATCTTATATTCAAATAAAATTTATAATATTTGTTAAGAAGCCACTTATTTATAATAAAATTCATTATTTATAAAATTATACTAATATTAGTTAGACTCAGGTTCATTTTCATGTTTTGTGTTCTGAGGGAAAACATTCCTAAAGTGGGAAAGGCTGCCAAGGAGGAACAGTGCTCATTTTAATAAAATTTCTAGAATGTTTACATTTTAACTGTAGCCATAGAGCAAGCAAACTCAAAGTAATCTGAATAATTTTGAACATTATTCCTTTATTAATAAATTAGTGGCATGCACCCAGTTGCATTTTAAAATAACATGCCAGGGGGTGACAGGGTGAGACCCTGGCTCTGAAAAAAACAACAACAACAACAACAACAAAAAACCAGGACTCTCCCTTTTGAACTTCTTTACATGTATTTTATTCTACTGCCTGTGGTTTGTGTGCATCCTGTGTCTTCCAGGAACAGTGTAGAAGCCAGTGTAACTTAGCAATGTGATGGTTGTGGGGTAGGGCAAGGCAAGTAGAGTAGGGAAGGCCAAAGGAGAAGCCAGGGGCCACACTATAGAGGAGGCCAAGGCATGATCTGAAACTTTTCTCTGAGTTAAACAAGAAGGGATTGGAGAGTTTTATGTGGAGAGTTGGCATGATTTGACTTAAAACTACCCCTTTCATGTGATTGTGGAGAATAGCTTGCCGGGGAGGTCAGGATGGAAGCAAAGAGGCCAGTTAGGAAAACATGTCAATGAGAGTGGTTGGAACCAAAGGGGTATTGCTGAAGGTGGTCAGAAGGGTTCAGCTTGAGATGCTTTCCAGGTAAAGCTTATAGGATTTGCTGATATATTGGATGGGCTAGGGCAGGAGAAAGGCTCCAGGTGACTCCAAATTTGATAACTGAAGACCTGGAAAAAATGGAGACACCATTTATTAAAACAGGAAAGCCTATGGGAGTGGGTAGCTTTGGGGATTGTGTAAATCCATAGGTTTTGAGTGTGATAACTTTGAAATTGCTTATTAGATATTAAATGGAGATGTGGAGAAGGCAGTTAGATACAGGAGGCTGCAAATCAGTTCAGGGATTGGTCTAAGCCAGGGATATGAATTCGGGAATTGTTAGGGAAAACATTATATTTAAAGACTAGATGAAGTCACCCAGGGAATAAATGCAGAAGGAGCAGTCTGGGGCCTGAGTCCAGAGGCACTGTAGCCTCAGAGAAGGGAAGATGAAGAAGAACTGGAAAAGATTGGGTAGGCAGACAGTGAGGTGGAAGAAAAATCAAGATTGAGGTATTCTGGGGGCTAAGAGAAGGAAGTGTTTCAAAGAAGGGTATGATCAACTGTGTGAATATCGTTGACAGGCACCATGGGGACTGAGAAAAGACAATGGAGTTACAGTTACTTCTTCAGGAGAAATTTTTTTAGATTAGTGGCCATAAAGCTGTTTGGAATACATTCAAGAATGAATGAGAGTAGAGGAAGTGAACATATATATAATTATAGAAAAATCTCTGGAGGAGTTTTACTAAATTAGATTAACCGAAACCTGGGGTGATAGCAAGAAAAAAAATTTAATGTGATGGGATTTTGCTTTTTTAAATTAGACATAATGTAGTATATTTATTAATATATATAAGTAGATTGATATTTTTTACAAATAATTTCATTCTAAATTTTGGTTGCATAAAGTCCCACTATTTAGTAAGGCTCAAAAAAAGTCTAACTGCATTCCAAAACATAGTAGTTTTCTAATATTTCTTCTCTTGGCCAAATGCAACTCACTTCAGTGTTAATTGATTTACCATGTACACAGAATCTGTATGAAATAGTGTATATAGCCTATTGCTTGAGAGTACCAGCTCTCTAATCAGATTGTCTG